TTTTTCTCCGGTACCGGGAACCGAACTCACGACCTTGCGCTTGCCAGGCAGGCGCTTTTGCCGCTGAGCTAAATCCCCAGCCCTGGAACAGTAATAATCTTTTGCACAGTATTTTGTATATGTCTGACAGTAAATAAAGAATACTAACAATAAATTATATACACTATAATGGAAAAATACACTTAAAGTTTAAGTCCACATTCTATATAGTTTTAAAGGGAAAAAATTTAAGTGTTGACTTTATAGAGGTAGAGAAGATTCCCTCTTTAAATTTCAAATTCCTGCTAGCTAAGCAGAACCTGTGCACTATCACGTCAACAGCTCTTCAGAGACATCTCATTACATAGAATGATTTGACCTATGGCCAGTGTTCACACTACCAGGAGGCAAAGATTCACTATGAATTCACGTTTTACCAAGTGCCAAATATTCCATATTATCTTTGAAAAGCAGAGGTTATAAGAGTTAACCCCACTGATTCAACTGTATAGATATGCAAGATTTTCCCTGACCATTAGTTACTGGGTTTGGAAGCAATTAAAATTTAACAATATCCTATCATGTGCCAGACCAAATAACAGGTAAGGACTCCAGACCGTTCATTCCTTTTACTGCACCCCCAAACACTGATTACCGTATCAGTTCTCTGGATCCAATCAGACATTATACACACAAACACAACCATGGGACCGCATGGCACTTGGAAGATTACCCACTATTTCCCACTTATTGAGGTCCGGGTCGTACTTCTCAATACTCTGAAGGTAGGTTCCCTTGGAGTAGGAGTATCCTCCAGTGACGTAGATGCACCCATTCATGATGACCGCGCCACACTCCATCCTCCTCTCCATCATGGGTGCTATCTCTCTCCATTCATTTTGCTCCTGGTCATAGCACTCTGCGATTGTAGTTTGTCCCCCAACGAGATAGAGCTTATTTTCAAACGGCACTGAGCACAATCCATATTCTTTTTAAGAGGAAAAAAAAGGATGATTTTTTATTAGAAAACAAAAAACCAAAAAGAGCTATCATAGTATGGTGATGTAATAATATTTTACAGTTTAGCACACACAAATACAAGAGTGGTGACATTCTGATACTGGCACACACTAACACTTAAAATCCAATCCCTACTATCAATTCAGATGACCTTTTCCCTGCTACTTGGCCATTATCCCTCAAGGTATTCTTTTTTTCTTTTTTTTCAGTACTAGGAATTGAACCCCATGTGCTAGGCAACTGCTCTTACTACTGAGCTATATCCCTGGCTCTTTTTAAATTTTATTATGGGGTAGAGTCTTAGTAAATTACCCAGCTTGGCCTTGAATTTGCAATCCTCCTGCCTCGGCCTCCAGAGTAGATTGGATTACAGGCATGCTCCACCATGCCTAACTCCTTCAGATCATTCTTAAACTGGTTCCGAAAGATACTAAGAAGAAACTCACCCCTGGACATCACTCTTCTGTGAAATGCCAACACAGCTTTTATTTAACATTTTAATCTATACAACTTGGTAGCAGAAGAGTCCTCCTTACAGAAGGCGTAGGTCCCTCCAAGTCCCCAGGGGCAGGCAACCTGTGGTGCCTGCTGCCACAGGGGCCGCACCGGATGAGTGGCTGGCAGACAGCAATGTAAAAATGAGAGAAGCACACAGCCACACTCCTGGGACACCCCAGCCACCATCTTCAGACTCTGTGAGAGGCGGTCCTGGGCTATGTGTGTGTGGGGGTGTGGGCCTGGGGCTTGGAGTCTGCCTCTGGGGACCACCTCCCCCCGGCTGTGTGTGTGTACATGTGCATGCTTGTCACCAGAAATTGAACCCAAGCTGGGCATGGTAATCCCAGTATTTGGGAGGCTGAGGCAAGAAGATAGCCACAAGTTCAAGGCCAGTCTGGGGTACACAGTGAGTCCAGGCCATCATGAACTACAAAGCAAGACCCTGTCTCAAAAAAACAAACAAACAACTGAAAAAGAAATTAAACCCAGGCCTTTCCTTTGCACTGAGCTATATCCCCAGCCTTTTTATTTCTTACATTTTGAGACAGGGCCTCACTAAGTTGCTAAAGTGCCCTGAACTTGCGATCCTCCTGCCTCAGCCACCTTAAGTGCTGGGATGATTGGTACGCAGCACCATATCCAGCTTCCCAGGCTGTTTCAGTGTTTCCCATTTTCTGTACCTCCTCTGTCACACTCAGACTGGCTCACACTAGGATGTTTCTCAACTTGACCTCCCCTCCATCCCAGGACCGTGGCAAGCATGAGGCTGGTTAGGCCAGGGCAAGGTGCAGGCAGGCATCCTCTCTGGGTCACTCTGCGTGACTTTAAACTCTGTACCTCAAGCATCTTACACAATCATCTTTGCCCCAGCCGTGTTTCTTCCATGCCACCTCTTTTCACATGGCTCCTAGCTGACAGTGCATTCTCTGGGCAAATCAGTCATGAAATTACACTCAAATACGTCTAGCTACAGCCTTGCAGGAAGCAGAGGCTTTGTCAGCAGCACTCACTATTGCCAATAAAGATTCACTGGCCAGAGCACGGCTGTCTCTCTGCCTCAGTGCCCCTTTTCCCTGGGTCTTGGCAGGGCTGCCTCCCCCTTTGGGTCTTATCTCCCCTCAGAGGGCCTCCCTAGTCGTGCTCCCTGTGGCGGCCGGCCAGGCGTCTGCACATCATGTAGTTTCACCCTGTCCCTAGCACTTCTCGTCATCTGGGACATTTCTAGCTTATTATCTCTCTTCTAGCAGTGCAGGAGCTGTGTCCTGCCCACTACCCCCACCCCAGACAGAGAACAAAAATATGTGGCACTCTGAGCAGACTCGGTATGTGTCTTTGACTGAATTATAGCTGAACACTCTTGTGCCCCAGCCCGTGTCCACACTACTATGTGAAAGAAAAGCTTAGAGACTGGAAAGAATGTATGATCAGAAAGGTCACTTTATTTTTTTAAAAAATGTGATTTCTTTCTTAAGAGTGGAGGACAATGTCTTATCAGTAAAGTTATTGCTATCTAAGTTGTGAAGGCTAACTAAAGTCTCAGAAGATAGGCAGTTTACTTTAACTCCACATACTGTTTTCAAATTTCTTTTTAAACATTTTTTTATTTTCTTAGTACATGTTTATAGTACAGAACAATCACATTCCTCATGGGGAGCTGTACAGGTGCACAGCATAGCTCAATTCTTTTTTCATCCTCTCCCCTCCCCCATCTCTTAGTCTCCTTTTGGTTCCCAGGTTTTTTTTTTTTTTCTTTTTTTGGAGAAAAGGTTTCACTACGCAGTTCAGGCTGGCTTTGAATTCATTATGTAGCCCAGGCTGGCCTCAAACTCGCAGTGATCCTCCTGTCTCAGCCTCCTGAGTGCTGAGTTCTCAGGTTTCTGTGGGGGACTTCTATCCAAGAAAATGATTCTTATACAACATGATTAAGTTGGATTCACCCCAGGGATGCAGGGATGGTTCAATATATCACATTAACATAACCAAGGACAAAAAACATGATCACCTCAGTAGATGCAGAAAAGCATCTGACAAAGTCCAGCACCCATTCAAGACAAAAACCCCAAAGAAAATTGGAACAGATGGTCTTTATCTCAATCTGATAAAAGCCATCTACGACAAACCAACAGCCAACATCATACTAAATGGACAAAAACTGAAAGCTTTCACTCTAAAATCAGGAACAAGATAAGGATGTCCACTGTCACCACTCTTATTCAATGTAGTCCTGGAAACTTTAGCCAGAGCAATTAGCCAAGGAATAACAATAGGGGAGGAAGAAGTCACATTATCATTATTCACAGATGATATGATACTCTACATAGAAGACCCCAAAACTCCACCAAAAACCTTCTAGATTTAATAAGTAAATTCAGTCGCATAGCTGGATACAAAGTCAATGCTTAAAAATCAATAGCCTTCCTTGTACCCATTAACAAACTCAGAGAAATTAGGGAAACCACACCTTTCACAATAGCATCCAAAAAAATAGCTGAGGATACAGCTCAGTGGCACAAGCAACCTGGCAAGCGCAAGGTCCTGAGTTTGATTCCCAACACCAAAAAAACAAAGAACAAACAAAAACAAAAAACATGAAATACCTAGAAATCAATCTAACGAAGGAAGTAAAAGACCTTTACATTGAAAACTACAGTACTCTCAAAAAGGAGACTGAAGAGGACATCAGGAAATGGAAAGATATGGGGCCGGGAATTTAGTTCAGTGGCACAGCACCTGCCTGGCAAGTGTGCGGTCATGAGTTCGATTCCCAATACTGGAAAAAAAAAACCAAGAAAATGGAAAGATATCTCTTGTTCTTGGGTAGGAAGAACCAATACACTGAAAATGGCCATACTTTCAAAAGTGTTATACAGATTTAACGCACTTCCAATCAAAATTCCATCAGCATATCTCACAGAATTAAAGAAAACAATCCTAAAATTTATTTGGAACCAGAAAGACCTAGAATAGCAAGGGCAATTCTGGACAACAAAGGAAAGGCAGGGGGCATCACAATCCCTGATTTGAAATTATACTATAAAGCTACAGCGACAAAAACAGCACAGTACTGGCAAAAAAACAGACCTGAGGCCCAATGGAACAGATTAGGAGATGCAGAAACAACTCCAGACATACTCAACCACCCTATCTTTGACAAAGGTGCCAAAGACATTCACTGGAAGAAAGACAGCCTCTTTAATAAATGGTGCTGGAAAAATTGGCTTTGCACATGCTGAAGATTAAATTTGGACCCATATCTTTCACCATGCACTAAGCTAAAGTCAAAATGGATCAAAGATCTAAATATTAAATAGAAACATTAAATCTGCTGGAAGACAGAATAGATAAAACTCTTGAAGACATTATTAATAAAACCCAGATCACATAGGAACTATCACAAAGAATCAACAACTGGGATCTCATCTTGTTAAACAGCTTTTGCATAGCAAGAGAAACCACCAACAGAGTGAAGAGACAACAAATAGTGTGGGAAAAAATGTTTGCCAGCCGATCCTCAGACAAGAGAGTAGTATCTAGAACATATAAAGAACTCAAAAACATCAGAACCCCCAAATTTAAGGACTCAATCCAAAAATGGGCATATGAGATGAACACACACTTCTCAGATAAAGAGGTACAAAGAGCAAATATATGAAAAAATGTTCAACACCACTGGTCATTCTAGAAATGCAAATTAAAACAACACTGAGATTCCATCTCACCCCAGAAAGAACGGCCATTATGAAGAAATGAACCAATAACAAATGCTGGAGAGGCTGTGATGAAAAAGGAACTCTTTTCCACTGTTGGTGGAAGTATAGACTGGTGCAACGATTGTGGAAACCAGTGTGGAGATTCTTCAAAAAACTAAGACTAGAGGTTCCATTTGACCCAGCCATTCCCCTCCTGGGTATCTTCCCAAAAGAATTAAAAGCATCTTACCACAGTAATATATGTGCATCTATGTATACAGTAGCACAGTGTCTAATAGCCAAATCTTGAAAACAGCCCAAATGCCCATCAGCTGGTGAATGGATAACGAAGATGTGGTTTTTTTATACAGTGGGGTACTACTCTGCAATCAAGAATGATATGCTCCAGACATTTCTAGGAAAATGGATACACCTTGAGGCCATACTCTTAAGTGAAATAAATCAGGTGCACTTGTGTAAATACCACATTGTTTCTCGGGTGTGAGAAACTGAAAGTGTAAATAAGGACCAAAATGTGTAATAGGTATTGTGAAATAAGAAGAAAATGTGCAAATGGGGAGGGGAACAAGAAAGAGGGGAAGGAGAAAGGAAAGGAGGGAAAAGTAAAAAAAAAAAAAGAAGAGAGAAAAGAAGGAAAACATGGAAACAAAGCTTTTGTAAATGGGGAGGAGAAGAGGGGTTGAAGGGAGGGTGAGGGAATGGGAAAAAAACAAGTTATATCATGT